AATCGTGGCAGCCCTAGTACGGAGTGACAAATTGGTGTACGGAGTGACACAACATGGGTGTATGGAGTGACACAACATGGGTGTATGGAGTGACACAACATGGGTGTATGGAGTGACGCAACATGGGCGTACGGAGTGACGCAGGGTGGGCGTACGGAGTGACGCAGGGTGGTGTACGGAGTGACGCAGCGTGGGCGTATGGAGTGACGCAGCGTGGGCGTATGGAGTGACGCAGCGTGGGCACACAGAGTGACACGTGGGTGTACAGAGTGATACATGGTTGAACAGAAGAGTGGGCCAGAGTCCTCTGCAGTAATGTGAGGGACTGAAAGTGACAGAAAACTTCTGAGAGTTCTTGATGCTGGAGGAGATTGTGAAAACTGTTGGATCACTATGTGCTTTTATGATTTAGAAATGATTTAATGATTTGTTCATTTATTTATCACTCACAGCTTTTCATTTTGGCTCCTTTTTGTTTAACAAATAGTGACGAGGCAGAATCTGTTGTCTTAGTTGATGTTCGACGAGTGTGGGATGTCCTAAAATGAGCTTTTCTTCCATCAACAGAAACAGAACTATGCTGGGCCCAGGAGGTGAGCAGCCTCCTTTATCCTATCTTTGTCTACCTCCACCTGGATATGGTGCGCTGTGGCCTGAAGGGGGCGGTGGATAGTTTTTACAGTCGCTTTCATGACACCTTCCTTCAGGACAGCGAGCAACGTGCTGTTGTGGAGCAGCTCCGCCATGTTCTCACTGCACAGGACGTTGCAGCCAACGCCAAGCTGAGAGCGTTCATGGAGCACAAGTACGTGGTTCACCTGACGGAGCCGACCTACAGCTACCTGCTGCGTTACCTGCAGAGTGAGGACAACAGCACCCTGTGCAGGGTCCTCAGCACACACCTGCAGGTGGAGGTCACTGCCTGCAGGCGTACAGATTACCAGCTGTACGGAGCTGCTGCCAGCTCTTCAACCGCCCCAAACTCTGCCGCCTCCTGGGCGGGTGTGGACGGAGCAGAGGGTGGAGATGGGGTGGAGGTCCCTGCAGGGATCCCACAGAGCGAGACCGCCCTCCAGGCGCTGCAGGATTGCATTAAGAAAGTCCGTGAGGGCCCGCCTTCGCTGACCACCGTCTGCTTCTATGCTTTCCACCACACAGAGCAGATGCTGAACACGGCTGAGGTGTCAGCTGACAGCCGGCTGCTGGCTGCAGGCTTCGACAGCTCTACGGTGAAGCTGTGGAGCCTCCGAGCCCGAAAACTAAAGGCCAGGTCACACCAGGCTGACGTGTCACGCATCCACCTGGCATGTGATGTACTGAAGGAGGAAGTGAGTAGATTAAACTAAAGCTTGTCCTTTTCTTTCTTACCATGTAAAACAGCCCTCATGCATCTTGGTGCTGGTATTTGCTGATAACAGTGGTTCGGTTAATTAACCAACCGATACTGACCACCTTTTAAAAACTGGAAATCGAACACGCCTGTGCACACTTAACCCCTTACCTAGAAGGAAGATAAAGATGTAGCAGCAACCAGCTCACTGTAGCCTAAAATACTGAGTATTTAAACCAACACTTGTTGCTGTTTTTTCTGTGTTAAAAGACAAATATCTCACTGCATGTATGAAGAATCAGAACAAATATTTCAGTCATGATTTCTTTTAATTGATGATGTAATTATTTAATAACGCGCTGCTGTCTTTTAGTCATTGCGTTAGTAAAGGCATCTGGCATAAAACAATCATCAAATCGATTAGAGTCTGAACAACAGTGACTAGGGCTGGGCGGTATGACCTCAAATTCATATCACGGTATAAATTGAATCCCTTCACAGTAACAGTATATATCGCGGTAGAAAATTGTCATAAAAAGTTAAGATAATGTAATTTTTAGAGCATTTTTTGTTGCAGAAAACTAATCTTAATTAAACCCAATGTTTTTGCTTTAATATCTGCCTGCCAAACAATGATTTTCTGCCTACTGAACTTATCAGCTGCTGCGCGCTCATCTTCATCATCTTCATCATCAGAGCAGAACTGTTACATGAACAAGATGGATTTATGACTGAACGAACGTCCACGTCTTTTTTATCATCTCTGTGGGTAACAATACATAAAAACAAGTTTTTTCTCTGACAGCTTGGGTGAAAAACTACGGTTGTTAAAGCTTCACTCTGCACGACGAGCAGCGGGATGGAGGAAATGATCCCGATGTAACTTTTCTACAGCGGGAGGGGGAAATTTTGAGGATTTATTCTCTTTATGCATTTTAAAACACTATAATTTCTTCATTTTATTTTGAACTCCTGCTCAGTTGCAGGGCTCTAGACTAACTTTTTGCACTGGCTGCACCGGTGTCACTAACATTTTTTTAGGCGCACAAATGTTAGGTGCACCCAAATTTTCAACCACGTCGCCTAACATCAGAGTTTTACAGGTTATTTTTTTAATCACTGTCAATTAAAGCAACATTAACTAAAAAAGTATTTAGTTAATCTAATAAACATAAAGTTCTTTATTTGAACCAGAATTGTAGACATTTTACTAAGTATTTAAAGTGATTCTATAAAATTCGAAGTGCAAATGTTTGTCTTATAAACATTTTAAACATTTCATGGTTAATTTATTTTAGATACCTGCCCCTCAGATGGACAACTATGGATCTTTGGCCTTGTATAAACCAGAATGATGAACAGAGAATAATGATTAATATCAGAAATATTACTGATATTTATTAAAAGGTTGTGCAGATTTTTTTAAAATAATAACACATAAAAGTCTGCTATTTCATATATTATTTCACTTAAATATCTAATATGTCTAGTTTTATCCTCCTGAGACCCAGAAGAACCTATTTCAGATACTTGGAATGTAACTGTGGTGAAGTCGATTAAGTGCAAAAGTGGCCTGCCATACAGGTGAGCTTCCTCGTCCTGCTGAAATGATSTYCWGCGCTCAGACCCCGACTGTTACATTAACAAGATGGACGAGCGAGCAACTGTCCACATCTTTTCATCTCCAGTTAACAAGAAAGAACTGGTTTACAGACTTCGATCTGGGTAAAAAAAAAAAACTACGGTTGTTTTGCTATGAGTGCGCGCACGCGCTGTGTGTGTGTTTACAGATTTTTGCTTCATGATGGGTACAATTATTGACCATTTCCCTGGTACACACAGCCTGGTGAGGTTAGGGTTTGGGTCAGGTGTGTAGTCTACCTGGGAMGTTATGTTTGGCTGTAGAATTGACAGGGAAATAAATGGAAGCCAATGCAAAGTCCTCATGAGGATAGAACAATAAATGTGTGTGTGTGCGGGAGGTGTGGAGCGGAGCCAGGAGCAGAGCTCAGTGTTATTAGGAGAGATGAGACTGTCGGCGGGCGACCATTGATACTGCTGGATAATTTTTATGGAACATGATGAAAACTTTTAGTTTCAGAGGGCGACAGCTCCCCCTCCCCCTCAGTCACACCAGTGCGACCGGACATTTTTTTTAGTCGCACTGTTAGGAAATCTGGTCGCATTCGTGACCAAATTGGTCGCACTCTAGAGCCCTGAGTTGTCTCTGCACTCACAGCCATGTTCACACAGCTGTGATGACGTAATGACGATGGGACGGTAGAGGGTAAATTTCTACTGTAGGCCAACTTCATACTGTTTCTACCGTCTACCACATATACCACGCAGCCAGCCCTACGAGGAAACAATGTTTGTTTGTTTTTTTTCCGTTAGAGCAACAGGGGGCGGGGTTATACTGAAGGCAGCTGCGTGACATCACAGAGCTGTCCTTTAAGGCACACCCAAAACATCCTGAAACACAGAAATCTTGTTAGATAAACTGAATCATATTTCCACTATTCAAATATCTACAGTTGAATTTGTGCTCATTTACAAGAATCCATTTATGACATTTATAGTTTAAAGAAGAAAACGTTACATTTTACTTTACACGTCTTTAAACTTACATGAGAAGCTGGTGGAAGAGTTGGAGCAGTGAAAATCACTTTAAGAGTAATACTCCTTTATGTCAGGAGGCATTTGTTAATTAATCTGAATTCAAAAAAATTAATTTGTTGACTCAAAGACAGTAGCAGCAGAATGTATGAATATTGGATACAGGGTGTAGAAAAGCTGTAGAGGAGACCAACAGATTGTCACAATGAAGAATAGTTTGTAAAGACTATAGAATAGTACAGTGCAATTAATGCAGTGGAGGTATTTATTGCACTAAATATAATGAAATCATTAATTAATATTTCTTATGTTACTTTTTAACAGCTTTTTGAAGATTTGATTTTTATCTAAATGGTAAATGGACTGATCTTATAGCACTTTATCAAGCCCCAGCTTTACACTACAGTCGTTCATCCATGCACACTCACACAGCGATGATGATAAGCTACAATAACCGTGTTTCCATCCAGTTGTAGAGTGAGTATTTATCGAACTTTTCAAAATTCGCAAAAAATTAAATAAATAAAAATTTGAATCTAGACTGTTTCCATCTAGTTTCCCTCTCAACTGTTTGTTGCAAATAAACGAGGCTACGCAACTCGTGATTACATCAGACGAGGCTACGCAACGCGTGATTACATCATACGAGGCTACGCAACGCGTGATTACGTCAGACGAGGCTACTCAACGCGTGATTACGTCAGACGAGGTTACACAATGCGTGATTACGTCAGATGAGGCTACGCAACACGTGATTACGTCAGATGAGGCTACTCAACGCGTGATTACGTCAGACGAGGCTACTCAACGCATGATTACGTCAGACAAGGCTACGCAACGCGTGATTACGTCAGATGAGGCTACTCAACGCGTGATTACGTCAGATGAGGCTACGCAACACATAATTACGTCAGACGTCGGCAACAAGCTTTGTGCTAGTAAACAGGAAGTGAAACTTGCTAACTAGCAGAGACTAATGATTTCAGGACAATGGAGCGATTTTTTTCGTGAATGCCTTGCTATTGGGCAAGTTGTAATTATTCTATCTATTCAGCTAGTACAGGCTATGTTTAACGCTGCCAGGAGACGTAGGGAAATAAACGCAATGTTAAACTACACAGCAGAAAGGCGAGGACGAGGGACAAGGCAGGAAAGCGGAAACAGCTGAATGTCACGTGAGATAAATATGCGCTACGTCAGAATTTATTTGGCAAACGTGTTTCCAAAACCCGGGCGTGGGAGGAGTTTGGAGAGGCCATGGAGAAAGACTTCCGCACGGCTTCGAGGCGATTCTGGTCCACCATCCGGCTTCTCAGGAGGGGGAAGCAGTGCAGCACCAACACTGTTTGTAGTAGGGATGGTGTGCTGCTGACCTCAACTCATGACATTGTGGGCCGGTGGGCGGAATACTTCGAAGACCTCCTCAATCCCACCAACATGCCTTCTGTTGAGGAAGCTGAGCCTGGGGACTTTGGGTTGGGCTCTCCAATCTCTGGGGACGAGGTCGCTGAGGTGGTCAATAAGCTCCTCGATGGCAGGGTCCCGGGGGTGGATGAGATCCGCCCGGAGTTCCTTAAGGCTCTGGATGTTGTAGGGTTGTGTTGGCTTACGCGACTCTGCAATATCGCATGGACATCGGGGGCAGTCCCCCTGGGTTGGCAGACTGGGGTGGTGGTCCCCCTGTTTAAAAAGGGGGACCGGAGGGTGTGCTCCAATTACGGGGGGTCACACTCTTAAGCCTCCCTGGTAAGGTCTATTCAGGGGTCCTGGAGAGGAGGGTCCGTCGGATAGTCGAACCTCGGATTCAGGAAGAGGGAATGGGGGAAGAAGGGAGCGGGAGATCGACAGGCGGATTGGCGCAGCGTCTGCTGTAAAGCGGGCGCTGTACCGGTC